TACATGTATAAAACTTTATTGAGTACATAACTTATTATTATACATCAAAAACAGTAAGAATTGCATCTGAGTTCTGGCAAACAATGTTCACAATTGGTGGGCATTTATTGAATCATTAGGGATGAGTCTGCGCTCTGGCAGTCAGGTTTGGGATTTGTTTGTTTTTCCCAAACTGAGGAGTAACAGTGAGTTCTGTCCAATATAGATATTGCTTAGAGTCACAGGAATAGAATGTATGACATTGCATGTATTAAACTCAGAGAGTAAATGATTTATCATAAGAAAGATGAAACAAACAATTTTACCTTTTTCGTTGGGTTTCATCTTTGAGTACTTCTGACACGGCAACAAGCTGCAATGATGGAGAAACTATTTATCATTACCTCGACCAGATAACTACACTTCATGCAGATTTAATAATTTATGGCACTTTACATTGGAGACAAAAAATAACAAACCTGTCTGAACTTCTCCTCAGCATCTTCTTCTTTATTTTTATCTGGATGTAACTGCAATGACAATTTTCTGTATGCTCTTTTTATATCAGATTGGGAAGCAGACTGTGTCAGGGAATAAAATGAGACAAAAGATATTATACATTATTTCAATTTGTGTTAAGCAAAGATGTACATTACATTTGCTAAATGTTTACACATTTGTGTAACACATTCAGACATGATGTTTTAGGAAATTATGGATGGCTGCATGTAGAAAAGCTTCATCAAATACAACGTAGATTACAAGGAACAAATAAAAAGAGGGGGTTTGTCATGGATATAATTGATTTCACCATACATGTAGTGTTAAATGGACCAATCTCTTTAATTTCACACCTGTATCACAGGCATGTTAAACCATCACATATACATGAATACATCTAAGGATTCATGCATGTATACTCATGCAATCACGTTATGATTCGGATAAAGATAGCCAAAATGCACCATTTTAGTGCTAAAAATTCATCAAAAACAATTTCTGCCACTTCGGATCTTGGGTTTGGTATATATATCTGGCATTATGGAACTTTGATGCACATCACTTTGTTTTGCAGATAAGATTCAAAATAGCTGATTGGTGGCTATTTTATTTTTATTATGAGTAATGCTGTTTTCGAGCCATATCTCAGAAAAGACCATGTTTATCATGTTCAAACACATTCTTCAAACCTTATGGGATACATACATTGTATGCATGCACATTTTCTCCAGGATCTAATTCGAGATAGCCAACAAACGGCATTTTTTGAGCTGAAACTGCATCAAAACCATCCTTCCCAGTCATTACAAAACTGCATCAAATACAACTTTTGACAAAAGTCAAAAGAGCACCTGTAGACATGCAATCTGGAAGAAGTCAGCGGCATATTTTAAACAGTTTTTTAAAGATAGCGGAGTGAGTGTGGGTGGGTAGAAACAAGAGCAGCTAGAAGAACTATTTAAGACAGCTGAGAAACATGGATTTTCAGTTGACAAAGATGATTTTTCAGAGAAAATGGCCTGAAATTAAGGTATGTGTGTGTTTCACAGAGTAAAATACTCGCAAAAAATATTAAAATATTATGCTATAGTCAAAGATAATTTGCATGCTCGTTATTCTTGCTTAGACAGAATACATGTAGTGTGCAACTTTTCAGAGGCTGGTACGAGTTAGTTTTAAGATGATGGCAGTTTTATTTCAGGGGAACATTTACGTTACGTTGCGAGTCGGTGCACTGTGACATCCACGTTCGGAATGTTCAAAATAATAATCGATTCAGGTGACGGTACATCTTCGCCAGCCAAGGACCATTTATTCGGCTGAAACATCAACACTAACCCTTGGCAGATTTCACCCTGATTTACTGTATATTGCACACCCTCAAACAATTATAAGATTCACTTCGGCTCATTTGCATCACTCAATCAGAACTCACGATAGAAACATCATATTAGCTGGTACAATTCAGGTAAAATTAAAATGGTGGAATATAAAAATGAACGTCAAAAGAATCGCTTAGTGCTGTATCCGAGGGGAATGTTTGAGGCAACCACAGTCCCTCTAGGTACTGTGTTGCAACAAAGACCGGATCGAGCAAGTCGATATGTTATCAGTTTTGATTGTTTTGTCAGTCTCACCTCCATTCCTCTTGTTCGGGTTTTCACCACTGCCACACCGTAATTTGCATATGTTCTGTAATTTGCATTAAAATGGGGTGATTCACCACATTTTTTTTCAAACAAAGATTTTAAGCGTATAACCTTTATGACTTTTCACGAAATAAATATGGTGATGTTCATAAATATGAAATCAAGCAATAAAAAGTGTTTATAGTTGTGTATACATGTAACTTTTGTATGAGACTTATTTTTCAAAGTGGAAGTACATACATGTTTACATGTGTGATGTTTGGCTAAA